TTTGAGTCCTATAAGTAGACCAGTAAAGTATCATGGATACCAGCATTATCATACTTAAGAAATTGGTTCAATTCTTGAGTAAATGAGGAAATTAAAAATTAACTGATTCTAAAAAATCTGTGGTTTGTCACTATGGCGGGCAGGTGGCGGGGTGGTGGCGCTATTGTATGGCATTTTAGAAAAAATTCATGTGCTATTCATAAGGTGCCAGACGCAAAATAAAAGCGTCCCGAATTACCCATGGGAATGGGGTAATCCGGGGCACTCAAAATAGAACTTAATTTAAAAATGTTTGAAGTCTGCAGATTGCAGTTGCAGAGTGTACTCATCAGTTTCATCTACCTATTACTAACAGTAATCTGAAGTCCTCCTTTTCCTTTGTAGATGATGTAGATGTAGAAGAAAAAACATTTTCTGTCATTTTCACTTATTTTTCCTTTATTGATATGATATTACCATATCCATACATTACCTTATTATTGATGTGATTTTACCGTATCCATTGAACATGCCTTTGAGTATTTACAACAACCTTGTCCACTGCAAGCTTCAACCTTGTCCACTGCAAGCTTCATATCAGCAGCCGCATAGCACTTTTTTGTGTTTGTGAGCTTACAAGTTACAGGATGGCTTGTATTTTCACACCATTTTAATTGGGTCAAGTAAATTCACTATAATAGAAAAGATTGTAAAATACAGAAAGGAATATTCTAATGACAACCATCATATTTTTGGAAAAATAAATCATAGCCTAGTTTAGGTTAATTACTTTTCATTTTATGTTGCCTGGTGCACAATTCTATCTATGACATTCTCCACAATTTTTTGATGACTGATGACGCATTGATTTTGAAGTGAATTATTTTTTGCTGAGGGAGGTAAAGATAATCAAAATTTTTTGTTGGTAATTTATTTTTTTATTAACTGGAGCCTTTTTTGATATGGCAAATAATTTTTCTGCTACAGGCCTTAGCAGAGGTAGGTACATTTCCTAAATCCCATTTGTCATACTTTTTTTTTCAGGGATTTTTTAGAGGTAGTACTATATGCATGTTTTCTTTACTTGCTTTATGCTATATAGATAGTAAAAATGTGAAACTTCTTGCCACTATTATTAGTTTTGCCACAATATTTTGATTAGTTTAGCTGCTACAACATTTCTACGAAATGTGGGACAACTGTCCCTTATTACCCTGCCTGTCCCTTATTACCCTGTTTGATGGTAGCATGCCTGTCATACCTGGAAATCATTTGGCTATAAATAAAGTCATGTATTTTGGTCTAATATAAAATATTGCACTTCATGAATATATAAAATTACCATATAACTTTGTAAAATGGTAAAATTTGACATTTCAGTAGCAAGTTATCTAAAAATATCCTATGTAAAACACAGCTTGGTGTCAAAGCAGAGAATTTTTTAGATTCATCCTCACGTTTGTTTTTGAGTCTTATAAGTAAATCAGTAAAGTATCATGGTTACCAGCATTATCATTCATGAAATACTGACTTGAATTTTGAGTACCAGGTAGAAAAGGAAATTTAAAATGATTTGATTCTAATAAATCTACAGTTGCCAGTTTGACACTATGTAACACAGTGATTGCATCCAAAACCTTTCATTGATGATTGCATAGTTGTGGTTTTGTCAGACATCAATTGTTCTGGTTTGTCAGCATTAAAAGTTTGTTTTTCTTCAAGAAAAACCTAAAAAAGTTTTCATATTTGAAATTGCCTCCTAAGTAAATAAAAATATTCCTATTGCTATTTCTAATGCAACATTAGATATTTGACAAAATAAATGTGTACACCGCATGGCTTGGTAAATGAGTTTGCGTTTTGGCAAATGGGTTCTGAGATCTTGCAGGCATGCAAATTTCTAAAAAAATATGTTCATGTCTTAAAACAGCAAATAATCCTAATGGAAAAACTCAGGAAAATTTATAAGCTTTGCCAAATCACTCATACAGGTATTAGTTAATTAATTGTTATAAAATTATCACAGCCTTGTTATAACAGTTTCCCTAACAAAATTTGGGGTATGCTTCAGCCTCTGCCCCAGAGTTGCTATGTTTGCGTTAGAGGTATTCTGGGTCAGTTGGCCAACTGACTGCAATCAGCAACTAGCCAGAACCTGCTGGCCGACTTTATGGTCTCCTGAGAGTAGGGCAAGAGCTGGCAGAATCCTTTCAGTCCCTTCACCAGGCTCTGGTAGCTGTCTGATTTAGGGACCAGAATGTAGATCAAAAAGCGACATAGAGAAGCTGATTTACGTTTTGTCCGAGCCCTAGGCGGTTCCTAATTCAGGGTCGCCACCAACTAAAAATTTTGATAGGGTTGTCATAGTCTTCTCTATTAGTGATATATACCCTCTTTCAGTCTGCATTATTGATGAAGTTCCTTACCCATCTTTCCAGCTTCCCTGCTGTCAACATGGCAGATAATGGGGAGAAAAGTTTGCTGGAAGAAGCTGTATCTCTTGCCCAGCAAGCCACTAAGTTTGATAGTGAAAATAGTTTTTCTGCTGCAGTCTACTATTATAGACAGTCAGCCTGTCTCCTTAAGCAAACATTGAAACAAGGAGCCAAAATACCTTCTATTGAAGACAAAATTGAACAATATTTGCAACGAGCAGACCAATTAGAAAATCAGCAGAAAGAGAAGCTTGAAGGTAAGTTGGATTCTATTGGATACAAGTTGCCCCTATTTAATTTTTTACTTTGCTACTATGTACAAGTTTACTTCCTGCATGGATAGGTGAAGAAATTTCTTATAAGTGAAGTGCTGAAAGTATATTTGTTCCTTTAAGGGATGAAGTGGTACTATAGCATTGGCTTCTTGTCAAGAAATTTGCTATTGTAGCATAGGTAAGTATGTGTGAGCTATTCAAAATCTCTTACATAGTATCTATGAATTAACAGAACAACATTATGATCATATAAATAAATATCTAAAGTACACTGTAATAGTTTGCTTTAGTTATGCAATTTTTGTCTCGTTACTTTTGTAGCAGGTGTGGATATTTATCCATTGTTGCTATCTTAGTCCTGATCAATGGGATACGAACTTGAATCTTACTTTTTTTATTTCACAGCATCAACAGCAACGACGAGCGGCGAGAGCGTATTGGGCCGAGCTTCTTTTTTACTTCACTCTGGCCTAGACCAAGATAGTGAGGGCAACACAGAGGAGGCCATCACTTTCTATGCTGAAGCTGCAGAACTCTGCATTAAAACGGTTGGTTTTCGTGTCTAAATTATTTGACTGGGTATGGGTTCTCTTAGTAGTTAATATGTAGGGTTCTCTTAGTAGTAGTATGTAGGGTTCTCTTAGTAGTTAATATCCTGATTCTTTACCGTTGTTATACTCCAGGTTCACAAGATTTCAAGGTATCTTAACAATTTTTACCCCCTCTAACTATATATTGCATGCTATTTTTGATGTATTACTGTGATAGATCAATATTTAATCTCAGTGTTGACTCAGTGTTTGCACAACACACAGAGTGCAGAGACTACCGATGATGCGCTGAAGACCAAACTGCGACATCTTGCCGACCAGGCGCTCACTCGCGCTGAGAAGCTCAAAGGCACCTCGCCTGACGCTGCCCTTGGTGAGTCGGGCTTTCGCTGGTGAGTGCGCGCTCTTAGTGTGTCTTGTGTCTGAGTATGTTGCTGTATTCCGGTGCTGGATACGTTGCTGGATCCCGGTACTGGACACTTTGCTGTATCCCGGTGCTGGATACGTTGCTGTACCGGTATCCCGGTACTGGATACGTTGCTGGATCCCGGTACTGGATACGTTGCTGTATCCCGGTGCTGGATACGTTGCTGTATCCCGTGACTGTCTACGTTAGTGTATCCCGTGACTGTCTATGTTAGTGTATCCCGTGACTGTACGTTAGTGTATCCCGTGATTGTATGTTAGTGTATCCCGTGACTGTACGTTAGTGTATCCCGTGACTGTATGTTAGTGTATCCCGTGACTGTACGTTAGTGTATCCCGTGACTGTA